GCCTTGTAATAAATGCCACAGTAGCATGACCCCAGGCCTGGAGCGGGAGGGAATGGCAGCCCCTGCTTCGGAAAGCGGGTAGGGACCTACGCGTGTCAAATCTTAGAGCGTAATAGGAGTTCGCCAAGGAGCCAAGGAGGCACGACGCATGGTGCATCTGGAGGCATCAGGGTTTGAACGAGCACGATGTGTTCAGGAAGAGGCAAAGCCTGGCTTCCATCCCTGGGGATGACGGGAGGGAGACTGGGGCAAGAGGACAAAAGGAGCCATGGAGGTCTTCAAGCAGTGACCTCAACAAAGATGTACTGTAGAAGGAAGATGCTGGCAGGAATAGGAAGAGGTTCCCGGGAGAGACCGAACGTTGAGGCAAGATGATGGAGCCCTGAAGCGGGGATGTGAGAGGTGGGCCGGACAGAGGAGGGTGGCCGCAGGCTGGTGAGGGAACCCCTGGGGGGCAGGGGAGTCATAGACAGCCTGAGAAACAGAACAGGGGGAATGGGCTCCACGCCAAACACCGTGCTGGGTGTTTTACAAACATCCCCTCAATCGTCCCAACTCCGTGAGGGAGGCAGAACTAACCCCACTCCACAGAGGACGCTTGGAGAAGCAAAGGGACTTTTCCCAGTCACAAACTAGATTACGGAGTTATCTGCAAACCCATCATACACTATGGGAGGGGTACCCAGATACTCTTCTTTATTCTGAAAAGCTGACATCCCAAAGACTGCTTTTTAGCAAATACTTTGAGAGACTGTGGACAGAAAAGAAGAGCATTTATTTCAATTTCATTACCCAGACGGGCTGCCACCCCAATGCGCTAACAGTGAGGCTTCGCTGGGCTAGAACCTAGCACCCAACATTTCCCAAGCACTCTCGGAGCTGGTTCTCCCTCTTTTTACGCCATCAGCAGGGAGCACACCCACATCCCTGGTTTGCAGGCAGAGAAGCCAAGGCCTGGAGAAGTGGAAGGTCATGTCCCAGGTCACCCAGTTTCCTTGGCCCCAAATCCACGGCTCTTTCCTCTGCCTATGCTCCTGATCCATGACTCCTGGGCATTCTGCAACCCCTCGCTCCCCGCTTTCTGTCTCTGACCCCACAGACAGCACCAATGGAACTCCTACTTAGCGACACAGGTCTGGCCACCTGGGTTCTTATGCAACATGGTCCTTTCTGTAAAGTATTCCTAAGCAGCCCTCCACTGCCGGGCCCATGAGGGTCCCTGTCATCACTCTCCCAGCCAAGGCTCCTCCTGCCTCTGGATCTCCACTTCACCAGGATCACAAGCATACATGCCACTATTGCAGGAAGTGGAGGTTTTTCCTATAGTCAAATGAAAGCAGCTAACATCACTAAGCACCTACTGGTTGCCGGGGACTCTGCTAAAAACTTCACATAGGTTACCTTAGCCTTGCTACATAACCCAGCAAAAATGGGTATTCTTATCCCCATTTGACAGATGAGGATAGTGAGGCTCAGAAAGCCTAAGTGACTTGCCCAAGGTCAGCTAGCCCTTGAGGCAGGAATCATAACTCGAGTCTGTCAGACTGCAGAGCGCACTTTATTTTGCTCTCCCGCACGGCCCGGCTCACCACTCTACCAGTGCAGAGGCCTCCCCATCAAAGTGGAAAAGGAAAAGGGAAGCAAGACAGGAGCTTTTCCATTTCTGCTGCCCAGCTCCCAGGCAGCTCCAGGGAGGCCCATCCCAGAGCATTTCACTCGGCCACCAGCCCCACCAGCCTGGAACCCTGGGAGGCCGACAAGAGTCAAAGGGCTCCCTGGCAGGCTTATTCTGGCGGCCTCCCAGCTGACTTGTGCTAACACAGCAACAGGCACAGGAAAGGCTCTAGAGAGAGTGGAAAAGCACCAGACACTGGGCGGCTGAGTGGGGAGAGAAGTGATTCCTACCCAGCTTAGACAGGATAACCCCGCTCTAAAGCCATCACCATCTCTAGGCCGGGAAAACACCCAAGGCGGGGCGGGGGGGGGGGGGGCGGGCGCGACACCAAGCGCCTCTACTCACTAATGTGTTTCAGTGAATCGTGACTGCTGGACCAGCCCATAAAAAGGGACACATGCCTCCAAGGTGAATCAGCAAGCATGGAAGAAAACCAGTGCCCTGGGGCATCCCAGCAAGCTCAGCCTGCCTTTGCCCACATCCACAGAAACCCTGCTACCCGAGCAGAGGCAAGAAAGCACACGCCATGTCCATGCCTGCCCTGCGGCAGCAGGTCCCAGCCGACCGTGGGAAAGAAAGACCCAGCTGCAGATATTAATAGACTTGCCAGAGGCAGAGAGTCAGTGAGAGCAAAGCCCTAGGAGATGAAATTATTTAAAAGGGGGCATAAAGTGAGATGGCTGGAAGAGAGCAACTTGGTTTTCAAAGATGGGGCTTCTGTGGCCAGGCTCTGGGAGGAGGCATAGCCACAGTGACGGGCTTACCCTGAAAGATCTGCAAATCCAAAAATGTCTCAGGCTGTGGGAAAACTCTGTTGCTGTCATTTCTGTAGGTTTTCTGTCCCCCAGTGTTCTGACCCCCCAGTTAGACAGATATTAAACGACACACATGCACGACACCCAAAAGTGTTCCAAGAGAAACCACTCCTGGGCCCTAATATTTGCCACAAGTTGTTAGATTGCTAGGAAAAAAAATGTATACCTATCAGACTTCACTGGAAGGACAGGGCAGTTTGGGAGGTCACAAATCAGCAGCCAGTGGGTCAAATTATCCCCATGGGTATGTGAACATGCTTAGAATTAAAAAATAATAATAAAATAAAATGCCAACATTTAAAAATCAAGTTTCAAGAAAAATGCACAAAAATCTAAATTTCCAGGGGCACCTGGGTGGCTCAGTTGGTTGAGCATCTGTCTTTGGCTCGGGTCATGATCTCAGCGTCCTGGGTCAAGCCCTGCATCGTCCTGCTTAGCAGGGAGCCTGCTTCTCAGTCTCCCTCTGCCTTTCCCCCTTCTTGTGCTCACTTGCTCCCTCTTTGTCAAATAAACCAAAAAAAATCTTAAAAAATATATATAAATTTCTAGCATCTTTTAGGGAAAAAACTGAAAAATGTGGCATTACTGGGCAAGCAGCACAAACTGGAGAAGGCCGCATGGCCACCGCCCCCATTAGGCAGGCCCGTCCTTCTAGTTCCTGGCCTGGCCTGCTCACTGGAGTCACCCGACTGACCCCTGTGGGCACATGTCTTTGTCACTCCTCAAGCCCAGGGAAGCAATGCCAGGCTTGGTCATGCTCAGGACGGCCACAGGGCGGCAGCACTGGGCCGTCACTGAGGCCCGCCCACCTGCCAGTGAGTAACCCAGCTGAGCTTGGCACATCCTTTCAGAACCAGAAATCTCATCCTTACCTCAGCAGCAGACGCTCATCCCCTCCACTCCCCATCAGATTTATTCCCTAAAAGCAACAGCGGCTCATTTCAGCGCGCCCACTCGCCTCAGGGACAGAGGAGGAGCCACTAGCCACTTCCACTCTCCTCCTCTCTGGCCACCACCTTCCACGTCTTCCCAGCTCCTCCCACTCCACAGGACATCTCTACCTGTTCAGGCATCCCACCTTCACCCACCTGTTAACACCATCAGGCCTCAGCACCTCCCCACAGGGACAGACACCCTCCCCTGCTTTTAAAGACAGTGCATCCTTCATCATGCACTCACTTCCTTTTGCTCACTTAGGTTAAATGTCAGTGGACTTCATGAGACAATAGGTTCTCACGCCTCTTCCTGTCCCCCTGCTCTCACTGCTCTTCCAACAGTACCAGTAACATCTTAAGCAGCAGCATTTAGTATAAACTCCTGAAGCCAGTTAGGAAAGACATTTAGACCCTTAAAACTGCTCATCCATTTCATCCAAAATGCCATTTACTGGTCCTGCCATTTACTCCCAAATGCAGAAGTTATAAAGGACAGTCACTACAATATTTACACTAGTGAACAATCAAAAACAACCCAAGTGTCCAGCAACTGGGAAATTATTAAAAACAAACTATGCTTTATTCCCACTTGATGGGCAATTATGTGGCTATTAAAAACAACTAGGATTATGAAGACCATGTGATAAGACAGAAAAATGATTACGATATGAAACACTATGTAAAAAAAAAAAGGAATATAAAATTAAAGGGACAGTAATGATAAGGTTGTTAAAAAATGGGGCGCCTGGGTGGCTCAGTCCGTTAAGCGGCTGCCTTTGGCTTGGGTCGTGATCCCAGGGTCCTAGGATCAAGTCCCATATTGGGCTCCCTGCTCAGCGGGAAGCCTGCTTCTTCCTCTGCCTCTACCCTTCCGTCTGCTTATGCACTCTCTCGCTTGCACTCTCTCTCTCAAATAATTAAATAAAAATCTTAAAAAAAAAAAAACACTTAAAAAACTATGCCAAGAATTAGTGAAAGGTAATAAATGCTACCTTTTTAGTTGTACTGGAGCCCAGGGAGTGGGGGGCCACCATTTATCAATCTCTACCAAATGTTCTTTAATGTACATATATTACATCTATAGGGGAAAATGTATGCCTGTGTATAATTGAAAAATTTGATAGCAACTATTAAGCTCCCCGGTCCACACTGAATTCACATTTTGAAAGGTCCTATAAGCCTTTTCTCATCATGATAAAAAGGCTCCTGGGAACCTGCACCTCCAGGACTCAGTGCCTGGGCCCATGAGCCCTTGGTTAAAGGTCAATGTTATCCGACCCTGAAATGCCTGCATTTGCATAACCCTAAGGAGACTCCGACAGGATCTGGAAGATAGGATGAGATCAATATGATTCTCAGATGCCACTTTAATCAAGTTTTGTACCATACAGTGATGGGGGTGGTGAAAAATGTGACTGTTTTCAAGCAAATTCACCTGTCCCAAGGTAAACAACCTGGGCTTCCAAGAACAGTAAAAGGCTTTCCTCCCCAGGGAGTCTCATTCCTGAGCTGACAGGACAGGATTTCAGGAAGAATGAGTACAAGAAGAGGGCAAACTAGTGAAGGGAGCCAGGCAGCTTTTTGAATTCTTCCCAGTGTACACTGGAACTAGGCATGTAGGCATCCCTCCTAAGGCAACACCCCAACCCCAGCCACTCCCACTTGAGGCCAAAGTGCCTCCCCAAAGAAACAGACAGCCATCATTCATTTCATGACACTCCTCCCCATGGCGCGCCCACAAGCGCAGAAGCCTGAGCAGTTTCGGCCACCATACAACACATGCAGCCTTCAGGCCAGAACCCTCAAGGGCCTTCCTCTTCCCTGGCCCCTCGGCTGCTCGAGTGTCCACCTGGCAACACGAGGGCGGCTGGTGTGTGCGGGGCTGGGTGGTACAGGAGGGGCCAGAATAAGCGACACAGCAAATCCAATGTGGGTTCTGGAGCAGGGTAGACATGGTGGCAGGGCCAGTCATGGCCCACACAAGGACCCATGGGGCTCTGTGTCCTTCATTAATTCTTCTCTGGGCGGTTTCTGTTCAGGACAGCTTTAGGGGCAAATTCCAGCTTGTCCTTAAGGCTCACCACCTGGGTGTGGTCCTTGCCTAGCAGTTCATCCAGCTTGCGGTCCTCCCGGCGCTCAGAGATGCTCTTCTCCTCCTCCACAGGCTGGGGATCCTTTCCCCGGATGAACCATTCCAGGTGGTAACCCACAGCCCCGACCACGAAGGCCACAGGAAATGTAACATAGGGAGCATAGGTACGCACCACGGTCCAAAGCACAGGCCACATGACATCTGCAGAAGAGCACAAGGCAGCATTAGGGAGAAACCAGCATCCCCCTTCCCACCGAATGCGGACAACCCACCAGGGCTCTCCATTTACCAGGCAGCCTGGCAGAATTTACCAAGCACCCACCCCACGCAGAGTAACACAGATGGTACCTTGCTTAGGCAACAGTTAGGGCCCTGAAGCAATCTAGAAAATTTTGAAAGACGTGACTGTTAGGGGAAAGGGGAAGGATCTCTATTTTATGTACTATACTCATTGACCATTATGCAACCATGTCTGGCAGTGTTCCCCACAAGGGAACCTCTGAGCTTACCTAACAAAGATTCAAGCCTGTGATTGGCCCCAGGCCCTCCCTCCACAGTTTACCAACATTTCAGGAATGGAAAAAAGCCCTTCCCTGCTCTATGCAATTTCTCCATGAACACAGCCAGCCACACTTTTCCCACCGTGTATAGTCCCACTGTGACTCTCCTGGTCCAAGATAATGAGAAATAGTTCCTTTACCTCACAAAAAGAATAAGGAGTCTATTTAAATGGCCAATACCCTAATCCATTACTCAACCATTCTGGATTTTAGATAATGATTTTTTTCCTATTCTGAACTTGATCTTTCTAACAATGAGACATACCTATACTTTACAAAACTGCTGGCCAAACCTCTCTCAAAATACATTCTCTTCAACCAAACCCATACCCTCGTATTTGCATAATAAACTCCTAAAAATATCACCAACACATTACACATACTCTGAACGTGATAGGTCTTGAATTTTTCTGTAAAAACAAACAAAAAAACAAAAACAAAACAAAAAAAACACTGTACAAGCCCATGGCGGTGGGGGGAAAAAGTGGATTGGCCCTGGAGCGTCCTGAAATGAAGTAAGATAACACCAAAAAAATATATATAACACACAAATTGGTTCACTCTAATGGCCATTTAGTCTCATGACTATTACCATTAACAGTTATCAAAGATTATTCACGGGGCACCTGGGTGGCTCCTGATTTCAGCTCAGGTCATGATCTCAAGGTTGTGGGATCAAGCCCCGAGTCGGGCTCCACACTCAGTGTGGAGTCTGCTTGTCCCTCTCCCTCTACTCTTCCCCCCATTTGTTCTCTCTCTCTAATAAATAAATAAAGTCTTAAAAAAAAGATTACTCACATTATCATAATAATGATAGATATCATTTATTGAGCACTTATGTACCATTCCTTGGGCTAAGCACTTTATTTACAGTATCTCCTTCTATCTTCATGTCCACTCTGTGAGGTAGATGGTATTATCAGAGGGTTAAGTAACTTGCCCCAAAGTCTCAACTAAAAGATCATTCATTCCATTTGCACCTCTGTAGGTGTTTCTCCAACTTGGCTATCTCTAGTCTAAAGTGTACAACTGAAATCTCACCAAGGATAAAATGATTCTTTCTTTGGTTCCAATTCTCTTTGGAGGAATCCCAGCATTCTGTGGACCCAAGACTATAACGGACCATTATCAGGGAAAAAACTGCAGCAGCTAGAATGTTCCCCTCTGGGTCCTTTGTCTTAGCACCAGCCCCTATGCCGGACAAGTCACCCGCTGGTCATCACCTGATCTTCACAACACCTCTATGAGGTAGGAATTATTAGCCCAGATTTGTGTCTAAGGCCACAAAGGCTCAGGGACATTATGTGAACTTGTCCAAGATCACTAGAAGTGACAGAACCACTGCTTTTGAATCCAGGCTTCTCCAAACGTCAACACTTGTGCTCTTTCTAGTGGCAAGAACACACTGCAGATAGGTGTGCTGTTTCTGTCCAAATCCTGGACTTGGGGAGCGCTTCCTGCAATTTTTTTCCATCAACTTGGCATGTCACTATCTGGAAGAGCGTCCCTTTTGGCAAACTCTAAGATTACTCAGAGATTTGTGAAATTACAGGACTTAGACGTTGTTAAAACAAACAATCCTGAAGAACCTCAAACCTAATACTTCATTTTCTTTCCTACCTTTTATGCAAGCTCTCTCTAAGTTAACACTTACCCTAAACAGCAATTCTCCCTTCAGATCCCCAATTTGTTGTAAAACATACCAAACACGAGTCCACAATTCATATCCTCTCCCATATGCAGCAAATGTCTCTCTCTCTGTTGTCCTGCCCACATTCTAATCATTCCCAAGTAAGTCAATTCATTCATTTATTCAACACTTAGAACCACCTTCTCTGTGACAGACGTTGTGCTGGCGGGCCTACCCGACTTGTCTGCATTTCTCAAAACACTTAAGCTCCAAGAGGGCAAGGACCATGTCTGTGCGGCCCCCACTGTGTCTTATCCATCCCCCACCCTTCCCGCCCTGCCTGCCATAAAGTGCTCCCAAAAAAGTTTGTCAAATGAATGAATGACAGCTCAAACAACGCACCAGCGTAAAACCACAGCAGTCGCCCACCCCCACGCCCTCCTAAGGCGGCAGGAATACAGCAGGCTACTTTGCAGATCGGAAGAAGCTAAATACCCCCTAACAAGTCATCCCCAGGGCATCAAAACGAAGGCGGCAAAAGCGTCCCGCAAATACTGGAACGTCTTCCTTCCAGCCTGGCAGAGGAAGCCTGAGTGTCCGGTAAAGGTCAAGTGGGTTGCCAGGAAACCTGCCCTTGTGCGGGCGCGCCGGAAGCCCAATGAGACCTGAAGCCGCAGCCCGAGATTTGAGAATTGTTAACAAGAGCAAAGGAGACCTGACAGGGTGGGAAGACTGGCCCTGACCGTCACTCGAGCCCAGCCCGGGGATGGGAGCGCAACTAAGTCGGAGTCCCAAGTATCTGGCCCTCTCCCTCCTCTGGGCTCCCGGTCCCACCACGCTCGTGGCCTCCGCAGCGTCCGTTCTCACCCACGTGCCTGAGGCCGAGAAGCGCTGGCCGCAGAGGGTGTGCTGGGCGCCCAGACACGGCCTCCGAGCCCTGGGAAGAGAGCTGTCAGGCCCAGCCAGGGCCGGAGCGGACACTCGCAATCACCCTTCCCTAACTCAGAGGTCACTACCAGGAGTCGTCACCCTGACAATGGGCGGCCCCGGCGGCCGCTCCGGGGAAGGGAACTGCCCGCTGGGACCGCGTGCTCACCTGCGCCGCAGCCCGCACTCCACGGTCCTGCCCCCGCCCTCCGCCCAGCCCGCGAGCGAGCCTTTCGGCTTGTTCGCTCGCCTGGAGCACCGACGCCGTCTCCCAGCGGCCTGCGAGGCCTGGCCCCGGGACCCCGCCCACCGGCGCCAGCTCTCTCGGAGCGCGCCGATTGGCTGAGCTCCAGTCAAAGGCCCGGAGGAAGCTGAGCGTCCGCAGCGGGCCCCGCTGCGCCGAGATGGGGACTGCGCCCCCTCGTGGCCCGGAGGGTTTCCCAGTGACGTCAGCACGTGCTTTCCGCGTGGAGAAAGTGGAAGGTCGTCCGTTCATTTATTCAACTGATGTTTATTGGGCGTCTCTAAGACCTAGGTCTGGACACACAAAAACAAAAGACATGTTCCTTAACTTCAAGAAGATCTCCTTAGCAGGCTATAGTCTAGAACTCTAAGACCTCTTCAGATTTGGGCTAGCTTTTTAGCCATGTGACGTTGGGAACACCATTAATCCGCTGGAGCCTCCTTTCCCTCTTAGGCATAAAGGTAATAACATCTATTTCAAAGGATGTTGTGAGGGTTTGATGAGATAATGCATGTTAAGTGCTGTGCCAGGTACATAGCAACAGGGAAATAAATGGTACTATTGTCGGTATACAAAGAACTGAAATACAGTGAAACTTAAGTCTTGCCTGACCCCTTGATACAAGTATTCACTCCCGCTGTGTCCCCACTATGCCCTGTACAGACATCTATTTTATCAGGTATAGTTGACCTCTGAACAACAGGGGTCTGAAACTGTGTGGGTCCACTTACACATGGATTTCTTTTTTCAATAAATGCAGAATGGTACTAGAAATATATTTTCTCTTTGTTATGATTTTCTTAATAATATTTTCTTTTGGCCAGCTTATTTTATTGTAGGAATACAGTACATAATACATATAACATACATAATATGTGTTAATCAGCTGTTTATGTTATCAGGAAGGCTTCCGACCAACAGTAGGCTATTAGTAGTTAAGTTTGGGGGATGTCAAAGTTATACATGGATTTTCCACTGTTCGGGGGCTGGGCGCCCCTAGTGCTGTCATTGTTCAGGGGTCAACTGTATAGAAAAATAACACCAAAGCTCAAGCTCTGGAATGCCCCCACTGGCCCTGCCTTCTCACCTCTGTTCCACGAGTCTCAGCCACGCGTATTTACTTATCTTTAGTAACACAGGCTAAACCCCTCATATTCCCCCATGCAGACCAAACTGTTTCAAACCTCTGTGCCTTCATTTATTATGCTTATTCATCTACCTGGAGTGCCCTTCCCACTTTTCTTTACCAAAGTAGCTCTGGCTCATTTTTCGTGCTTAAGAGACACCTCCAGAGGGAGCCTCCTAGACTGCATCATCATGTTAGATGCCCTTCCTCTATGATCTCAAAGAGGTCAGTGCTAAGCTCTTGCAGCGGAGATAGAAAAGAACAGTATAGAGATATATGTAAGAAACCATTATTAGCAGCACTTGTTCCCTAAATGAATGTGTAGAGAAGAGAAGGGAACAAAATTGCCTAGAACAATTAGCATTAGAACATCGACATGTGCTAGCCACTGGGGATACAAAAATGACTAGAACCACCCCTGCCTTCAGGAGTTCTCGGACCAACCGCTCGGGAAGCAGAGGGCTCTACAAACTGTCAAGGGAGTGTGAGAAACGTGACAACAGAAGCATGCATAGGTAGCGCAGAGGAGGAACCCAGAAAGAATCAGGGAGGGCTCACCAGAGGAACCTGCCCTTGAGCTGAGTCTCAAGTGATGGCTAGTAGTTCAGTCAGGCAGAACTGAGTGGGGCTTGAGAGCACAGACCTAGGAATCAAAAGTGGGTTCAAATCCTGGCCCTGCTGCCAGCTAATCTCAGAAAAGTTGTTTACACTCTTTGTTTAAGCAGACGCAATGAGAATACCCATCCGCTAGGGTGGTTCTGAGTCCTAGTCACCTAATGTGTATAAAACGCTTGGCACGGTACTTGGCGCCTCCTGAGTGCTCAGTAAATGGCCACTGGTATGTTTAGTATTCCCCAAATTGATTCCTCCTTCTATAATGCTCTATGTCCACTTATGGTTTTACTTATTCACTAAGCCAAAAACCTGACATCCTCAAAATCTCATCTTTGCACTATTCCCCAAACCCAGCTTAGAACACCTGAGCTTCCTGAATGTCTCTCAAGTCCCTCATCATCCTCATCTCTTACCTGGACTACCTTAGCAACTCCCTCAGTGGTCTCATTGCCTTCTATTGCTCCCTCCAGTCCATTTCCATTTTTAGCCAAAGGGTCTTTCAAAAGCTTAAATAAAACCATGAAGTCTCCAGGGCACCTGGGTGGCTCAGTCAGTTAAGCGTCTGCCTTCGGCTCAGGTCATGATCCCAGGGTACTGAGATTGAGCCCTGCATTGGCCTCCCTGCTCAGTGGGGAGCCTGCTTCTCCTTCTCCCATTCCCCCTGCTTGTGCACACTTGCTCTCTCTCTCTCTCAAATAAATAAAATCTTAAAAAAAAAAAAAAAAAAGTGAAATCTCCGGCTTAAACCCCCTCTCTTCTGGAACATGGGTCCCTTCTGGCCACATCTCCTCTATGCCCTCTATACCCCTGTCCGAGCCTGTCACCAACCTCCAGTCTCTGCTCTTCCCATGATCCCACACACACAGACATACCCTATCATGCATTTGCCCAAGTTGGTCCCTCTGCCTGAAATGAATGTCCTCCCTCTCTTCCTCTGCTGCAAAACTCTAACTCATCCTGCAAGACCCAGTTCAAAAGGCCCTTCTTGCAGAAAGACTCAACTGACTGCTAGAGGCCTCCTCCTTTGGTATCCTCAGCCCCTCTGGGAGAAGCCTCCCTCTGTACGTGCCATTCTCTTTATGTGCCTGACTATGGCCACCTGGGAGCAACTGAAAAGCACAGGGACTGGATCTAATCCTTCACTTGTCCATGGAGCCCAGCACAACTCCCCAGCCCTCAACATCCAAAGACTCCACAGCACATCAGCTCCACACGGGGAGATTTAGATGTCAGTCTGTAGCAAGATGCCCACTACATTCATTCAGGGCTGCCCTGCTCCTCTGTGCCCATCCCGTATACCTCCTGGTCCTGGGAAACGTGGCCCAGTTTCTAGGAAAAGACATAGAGCCATAAAGAGCTGTATAGTATAGAAGGTTAAACTCAGACTCAGCCACTTCTCAGCTTTGTGATTTGGGGTAAATTGTTTAAACTCTCAGAGTGTTAGTTTTCTCACCTATAAATGATGGTAACAACAATATCGGCTTCAAGGATTGCTCTGAGTATCATCTAGTACAAACCTTGCCCACGTCCCAGTTTTAGAGGTGAGAAAACTCAGTCTCAGAGAGGTGAAGTGACCCAGCTAAAGGCTCACTTGGCAAGTCTAGGGGAAATAGACAAATGGGTATTTCCAGTGGAAACTTTTGGACGATCATCCAACCTAAGTGTTCTCAAACCTGGCTGCCCATCAAAATCACCTGGCACACTTGTTAAAAACTCGTTTGGGGGCAGAGAGTCTATTCACAGTCTTGGACAGGGCCCAGGAATCTGTGTGGGATCAGCTCCAAGCTGACTCACTTTCGGGAATTTGGATCACATGGGGCTCCTCTCCACCTTCCGTGGTCTCATATAAGTGTGTGTGTACAACCTCTTGCTTTTCAAGCAGTCTCCCACACTGGCCTATAAAGTAGCTGTTCATGCCCCTCTCCTGTTCAAAACCCTTCCGTGGCTCCCCATGGCTCTGGGGACGCAGGCCCACCCACCTCAAGTTGACCGAAAAGCCCAGCATGGTCATGCCTCTGCACTCCCGATGCTCTTTCTCCTCCTGGCCTTTGCATAGCTGTTGTCTGATTTAGAACATTCTTCCCATCGCTGGCCCTCCTCCAGTGGCTCTTTCCAGCACTCACCCTTATTCTGTAACTGCTTGTTCACTTGTCTGTTTTTCCCATAAGACCATTAGCACCATAAGAGTAGAAATTACACTCGTTCAGGGCTATCTCCCAGGTGCTGGCCAGTGCCAACAGTGGTTCTTGATAAATGCCTGCTGAATAAATGAATGAGAATTGTCCAGTCCAGTGTGGCCCAGAAGGGCAGTCGAAGCCTTGGATGGCTCTTCTTCCTGCCTCAGGGTGACACATCAACCCCAAGCAATGGGTGGGGTTGCCAGACCGGGTGGGGGCTGCCATCAAACCCTTTGGGGACTCTGAAAGCTGTAGAGCTAAAAAGCTCCCGGTTTAGCATGAAGCAGACCTGGGGCCGCCACTCCTAGCCCTGCCTGTGACTTTGGACAGGTCACTGAACCTCTCCTGAGCTTCAGCTTTCTCATCTGTCCTAAGGATGAGCTACATTCATGTAAAGCACTCCCCCTCCACCCCACCGCCTGACCCAGAGCAAACATCCCATAAACATTAGCCAGCACTACTAGCTGGGCGTTGCTACTTAGCTTCCTAGGAAAGTTCCATTCTCCTCCTGGGCCGCCACCGGAGTGCCCACCCAGAGGAGGCATCAGAAAAGGTGACAACACTAAATCGAACAGCGTTTCTGCTGCTGATCAGGAATGAGCCGAGCAGAGATAACACGGGACCCTTAGGGGAAGGGAAACCAGTATCCATCCGCATCTAAGAATAACAGCACTCCCTGTTTATTGAGCACAGGCCGGTGGGCCAGGCACTGGGCTCTGGGCTGCCCGGTTGCGGGAAAGCTTGGGAGCACCGGGGGGCAGAAAGACAAATGGACTGAACTAGAAGTGGTGAGGAAAACACCCTCCCCTCTTCACCGCCCCTGGGCCCCTCCAGGAGGGCTCAGGTCCTTCTGTGGCCACCAGGGGGCCGAATCCCCTTTGCCCAGCTCGCCCAGGTTACCACACTCTCCCCAAACGGAGAGTGGCTCCTGGCTTCCCCTCCCTCCACTCCCCCACCCACGCCCCCATTCCCCTGCCTCCTCCCCCTCCCCCCCACCCCACACTCCCGGCTCCCACGCACGGGGCAGAGGTGGCTCCTTCTGGAGAGAGCAGCCGGCTCGAGTGCAGTTCTGCCGTTTTATTTTTCCTGGGATACTCAAGGGGATGTGGAAACAGCCACAGGTGTGGTGAGGGGAAGCCCC